GTTTGTTGACTGTGTGACCTGTAAGACGGCTAAACTGCACTTTGAAAAGACGAGTTCATGCCTTAAGCCCCCAGTATACTGCCGCGTACATCCATACGCAGAGGTACGCACATACGTAGTCTGCTGGCCCCATTCATGAAGTCTTTTAAGTGACAACACAGCTAAATTAATGTCTTTATATTATTCCTGTGCAGGGGACAAAAAAAAAAAATTATTAAAAGCTAAACTCATGGTTATTACTGTAGTGGCTGAGTGCTAAAGACAACAGCTCTAAGAAATTTAAGATAGGATGAGAGGCAATTTAGCACTAATCTGCTGTGATTGTGCATTCTGTACACCAGACTGTCTCTGAAGGTAATGGTGCTTGACAAGGAGCAGGGTGTCCTCCGTCTGGCCCCAGTGAGACCATGACAAAAGCATGATGGGTCCCCGAGGGAAGATCAGGTACACCAACACAGCATGCTACTCTTGCTGACTGAGTTTAGCTACAGATGCTGAACTGTAGGGAGCAGGTTTGCTCTGATTAATCTCTCACAGAGGCAACTAAAGACAGCATAAGCTACATACTACATAAAAAAAATGATTGTTACAACCATCAATGTTCTTTGTTCAGTAACAGTTGTATAAAACCACTAGTTGAATATGCCACCTGGCTCCTTTTTATGTTTCCATTTCTGTCAAAACTACATATGGCTGTGGGAATTTTAAGTCTGGGACAAGACACCCATTACATTAGGGCAGTATGATGGATTAGTGGTTAGCATTGTTGCCTCAAAGAAATCATGTCCTGGGTTCAATCCCCAGTTTGGGTCTGGGGTCTTCCTGTGTGGAGTTTCCATGTTCTCCTCGAGTGGGTTATCTCTGGGTACTCACTTTCCTCCTACAGTCCAAAAACATGCATGCTAAGCTGCCTTCAGGCCCAGGCCTCCTAAGCAAAAGAGATCTGTGATCTCAATGGAATTTGCCTGGTTAAATGAAAGTTCATTTTTTTAACTCCCATATTAAAAATGTTACCAACACCGCTTTCCTCCACCTGCGTAATATCACTAAGATTAGAAATATCTTGTCCAAAAATGATGCAGAAAAAACTGGTTCATACATTTGTCATGTCTAGACTGGATTATTGCTAATGTTTAATATCTGGGTGTCCGCAAACTTCTTTAAAACGTCTTCAGCTGATCCAAAATGCTGCTGCCAGAGTTTAAATGAGTTGATAGAAAAGATCATATCTCTACAGTTTTAGCTTCTCTCCATTGGCTCCCTGTCAAACTCAGATTAGAATTCAAGCTCTTACTTCTAACCTACAAAGCTCTCAACAACCTAGCTCCATCTTATATTACAGATATTATTGTTCCATATTTCCTAACAGAGCACTTTGCGCTCAGACTGCAGGTTTACTTACGGTTCCTAGAGGTTCAAAAAGCAGATTGGGAAGCAGAACTTGTTTGTATTTCTTCCAGTAGGGGGTACACCTGCACCTACACCTGGACCTGTCATTCTGTGCTTGTCTGTTTCTCCTTCCTGTCCTCTCAAACCAGCCAGCCAAAGCAGATGGCCCCTTGTCCTGGTTCTGCTGGAGGTTTTTTCTTTTTAAAAGGGAGTTTTTCCTTTCCACTGTCTCCTTTGTGTTTGCTCGGGGTGGGAGACTGCAACAAAGTGAAGATTCAACGAGTCTGCTGGCGTCCTTAGATAGAGAACTTAACTTATTGGCTTTTCTATGTTTGTGAATGTTTCTGTAAAGTGCCCTGAAACAACTTTGTTGTGAATTAGTGCTATATAAATAAACTAAACTGAATTAATCAATAAATAAAATAGCCCTGTTTATGCTGGACAACATCTACCTATCCTACTATGTGGATGGTTGTGGCAAGGTTATGAGATAGATTAAGGATTTAAGGGGGTGCTCTGTTATATGTGAAGAATGGTTTTGAGCATGCACAAAACTTTTATAAAAAAGGTTGAGTTTGTTAATTGTCATAGCATATCACGGTCCTGGGTGGAGAGTGGCTGAGATTGGGTTAGCATGGTGGCAACATATCCATGTACCATCATGTGGGTCCTCCCCCAGAAAATTTTGAATAAAGTAGATGCCATTTCCTGCATTCTGGTGTATTTTAATGGGTTGTTAAACATATAAGTTTACCTACATAAGTAAACACTTGATTTAATAACTATTTTAGAGAGCATGGCACAACAATAAGTAGCCTGACCAATAGCTCTCCTTGTATGAATAGAGCAAGCTTCACTTCTCTCACGCATCCTAACACCCCCCACCCCACCCCCGTCAACAACTGCCAACACTAACATAGCTCTAAGCTAGCATGCAACACAGTGATGTCTCACTCTCCACCTCCTGAAAAGTCAAAAAAAAAAAAAAAAAACCCAAAGAGATGAGCGTCCTGCCAAGCCAAGTGACCTCGGAGAAACACTGCAAGTGGTGTGGTGAGTTGTTGGAGATAACCAGGAAAACCCGGAGTGGACTTTTAGCGGTTTGAGTATTCTCCTATTAATCAAGTGGAATGGATTTGTTCACAAAGAAACAACTCTGGGTGAAGGTAGTTCAGATTGTCTACAATCCAGCCATATTCCAATAGGTAAGTGTAGGCCAACGTTATCATAGGAGGGTCATTGTCCAGAGTGAACAAAGCTTTAGAACGTAGCTGGATAAGGAACATTTTGAACATTTTTCAAATGCACTTACTCTTTTAGTTTATTTCAAATAGGTTGTTCCCCGATATCCACCACATCCCCAAGACACTTTGTTGTGTCCTCATAAAACTGAAAATGACAGTCGAACTTTCTCATGATAACACACAATTGTGAAACACCCAGTGCCCGCCCTGGCATGACTTTCTGCGACTGCGTTAAGACGCAGCTACATGCTAGAGGATCACACCAAGCTGGCACAACACCAGTGATGATAAGATCATAGCTAAGGCCTGAGGCCAGTGTGCTCAGTCTTGTTTCAGATTGTTGATGATCTAGTTTTTTTTATGTGTGCATGCCTCATGCCATAGACACACTGTCAATACACTCCACCAAACTTCATCCAGAAAGACCCTGATACACTGCCACCATGATCCTAAACCTAGACTATACAAGTAAATGTGCCTGTGGTACAACTAAACCACTGAGAACCTCATCAAGACCCTGCAATGACCATCCGTGATCTGGATGTTTTTTTGACTTTGTAGCTGGGTCATCATCCAGTGTGAAGAGGCCTTAAATATGTGGTAGACTCCAGTTACTTTTTCCAAAATGAACAGTTTCTCAGTTAATTGTCTATTAAGGATTCATCCATCCATCCATCTGTTCATCCATCATCTTCCACTTGTTATGAAGTTGGGCCTCGGGGGCAGCAGCTTGAGCAGAGAGTTCCGTACACCTCTTTCTACAGCCACCTCTTCCAGCTCTTCTGGGAGGACCCCAAGATGTTCCCAGCCCAACCGAGAGACATAATCTCTCCAGCGTGTCCTGAGTCTTCTCCGGGGTCTCCTCCCAGTCTGACATGCCCAAAGCACCTCCCTAGGGAGGCGCCCAGGAAGCATCCTTACCAGATGCTTGAACCACCTTAACTGGCTCCTCTCGATGTGGAGGAGCAGGATGTAATAAGGAATAAAATTTAAATTATTTGGGGTCAATTACAAATTAAAAATGTGAAGTATCTTCAAGTCATTGGATGTGATTTCAGATTGCACAACAACAAAAAAATCCTCTTTACAACTTTACAAATGATGGGAGAACATGATGCAATCAGCTGCTGGACATGTATTATTATAAAACTTAAAGTGACTGATTAGTGATTCATTTTCATGAAGTCCACAGGTCTTTACAGATGACACTGAAGCATGTGCCTAAATCCAAGCATCCCCCTGAGAGAAAGGGCACCTCTACTTCTACAATGCGTGGATCAATGGATCAGTCGCCTTCATTCTGCTGAAACAAGGACAATCACAAAGGTCTGGTAAGAAGAGGAGCAATGTGATTACCGTTGAATCTCTCGGGAGGAAGTGCTCTTTAGAACGACTACTTCATCTCTGCTTCCTTTAGAAGGTATAGAAATGTTTATATTGGACTTCTGGGAACATTTAGATTATATATTTTAATAAATCCATATTTTGATATTCTAAAACCTATGTAGCCCATTTTTGATTCAAACTTTTTGTACTCTGTCAGGTTCAGATTCAGGAGGTGACTCAAATGCAGATTCAGGCATGAAGGTTATGATAAAATCAAAAAATGTTATTAACCAAAATACTTCAGGACTAGATTCAGGATTCTGTTTGGTCTGGTAAAATACCAATTCTTCAAATAACCTATTTTACAGACATTGAGCTAAATACGGATGTGTTAGTAGCTGAGAGTGATCCATAACACATGTTCTGAGTGTGTTATGAGATTGCACGTTTTAAGGTTTGACCAGAACAGTCACAAGTTGTAGTTTAAAACCCCCGCAGGTGATATGCATTCCGAATTCTAGGCCTTTATTAATAATTATTATTTTTACAGCAAAATATTATCCTGATTTTTCAGTGTGTAAACAAAGGGTCAGTGCATGACAAGAATATGGGACTGAATATTCCACAAAACTTTCTCTGAATGTGGCTGTAATTTACAACAAACAGAATGAGTTATGACTAAGCTTGGAGTGTCGGGGTTATGTCCTGGGGAGTTGCTGTTGTAGTTTTTCCACACAAACATTTTGACAGAGCGGGTTATTTCAAACCTGTCTGTCTTCTTTACTCTTTATCGCTTTTACAAACAGCCAAACAGAGCAAACAAGCAGGCGGTGCACACGTCTGCAGATCGTTAGTGAAAGAAGTGCAAACATCTTTACAATCTTATTTAACAGAGTCCTCCCCCTGGGGGCCCAGGGGTGTCCAGCGGTTCGGACTCTATGCGCACCCCTGGCTCCTGGAGCCATGTTGCGGCTCCAACGCGCGGCTCGGAGCTCTAAACGCACGAGCGTGTGTTGGCGTGTGAACCAGGAAGGGTCTTACCTTTCCAATGGCCTTCCTGTACCTCATGGCGGCTTGTTCGATCAGATTGTGGACTTTCAACGTCCCATCTCCGCACGGAACGACCACGCGCGTCCTCCCGAAACACACCGTCACCTTCATGGCTCCTGCGCAGCGTTAGTACATCCAGAGACCTCCAGGACCATCCCCGGTGCGCGCGTGGGTGTGAGTGCGCGAAGGTAAAACTCAAAAAGCCCAGCTGAAGACCCGACACAACTCTGTGTGTGCGTGTGTGTGCGTGTTGTTTCCTGGGAGCAGAAGCCCCGGATCCAGCGGCAGGGCTGGGCTGAGTGCGCGTGTTGACTCACTTTACATAAAGTTCTGAGCAGCTGCTCAGCTGACAGTCCGAGCCCAGAGACACATGTCGGAGCAGGAGCAGGAATGTTCCCGAGCTGTCCCGCACCCAGCAGGGTCCACGGGGGTCCCACACCCTGCTGGGTCCACGGGGGTCCCACACCCTGCTGGGTCCACGAGGGTCCCGCACACAGCAGGGTCCACGGGGGTCCCGCACCCTGCTGGGTCCACTGGGGTCCCGCACCCATCTGGGTCCACGGGGGTCCCGCACCCAGCTGGGTCCACGGGGGTCCCGCACCCAGCAGGGTCCACGGGGGTCCTGCACACAGCTGGGTCCACGGGGGGTCCCGCACCCTGCTGGGTCCACTGGGGGCCCCGCACCCAGCAGGGTCCACGGGGGTCCCGCACACAGCTGGGTCCACGAGGGTCCCGCACACAGCTGGGTCCACGGGGGTCCCGCACCCATCTGGGTCCACGGGGGTCCCGCACCCTGCTGGGTCCACTGAAGGGACAGTTTTGGTGTGGACGTGGGTTTAAAACACCTCTAAACTTTCTGACGAGATTCAGTCAAGAGAGTTTGTTTCTGGGTTCAGTGGAGTAAACAGCATCTTGTGATAAAAGTCTGAGCTTTTGTTTTGTGCAGCTTCTTGTTCTCCACCTGGGGATCTACAAGTGAAATAACTGGACTCTGTCATGGTACAGGAAGTGGCTTTAGGTGGAAAAAATGATGTCCTCACGTGAGGACAGCAGGTTTTATTTTTGCATTTTATTATTTTCTTTGCAAATTGGTGTCAGAAGGTCCCAATCACTCTAAAAACACAATGTCAGCTTTCTATAAAAACCAGTGTCCTCATATGAGGAGTGAGGGCCCTGCAGGTCTCAGGAGGTTAGAGCTAAACTCTCACATTCAAACTGAACCATGAAGATAAACCACAAAGTGCTTTAAATAAGATCAAAACAGAAAAGAGAAACAGAAACAAAATCACAAACACAACCATTTACATTAAAACAGCAACAAACTATAAAATGGCTCAACTTTTAGTAGAAATATGTGACTTTTATCATTTTTTAATTTTCATTGTTAATATTCTTTCTTTCGGCTGCTCCATTCTTCAGGCGTCACCACAGCAAACTAAGTCGCACGATGACTTGGTGATTCATGTCCTTCCTGACAACCACAGACCACCGAGCTGCCACAGCCCTCTGTGTGGAGCAGAGCACAGATGGTGGGGGTTAGGGCCTTGCTCAAGGGCCCAGAGTGGAGCAAATGAAGGTGGAGGCGGGTGTGGATTTTATCCTTATTATTTTTATTTGTCTTTTTATTATTAATATGAGTATTGTTGTTTCTCTGACTAAAAGCTCTGCCCCAGAATCCTCTGGCAAATAAATTTTTAGACAGTTTGTAAAAATACAAACTTTAAAATCTATAGATGAATAAGAATAATAAATAAATGTACCTTTAAATGAAATTAAAGAAATGTGAAAGTGGTTTTAAACAGAGCTAAACAAGCAAAAATAAATTCCATTTAAATCTAATTCAGCTGGGAGTCAGAATAGAAATAAAACTAAGAAACAAAATTAGTACAAGACTTGCCAACAGTTGTGTTTAAATATTTTCACTAAAAGTCTGATTGAACAGGTGAGCCTGGACATAACGTGCAAGTTCTGAGCTTATTTTTCACATGAACACATCGGCTGCAGTTTTCATCAGTTCTACAAACTCCATTCCCTGTCAGAGAAACTCACCACATTTTTGTAAAAAGTTTTATTTAAAGACTTTTTTAAGAATGTGGAATTTGCTTTTTTGTTTTGCCTCTGCCACAGATGTGCTCAAACAGTTTCTCTCTTTGTGGATTTCAATGAAGAATCGCTCTGTGATGCTTTGGATTCCTACAGTGAGCAGGTGAACAATCTGCTGGCACAAAATGATCCATCTTATTTACTTACTTTTTTCTTCTTCTATTCTTCTGTCACATTTGTTTACATCTTCGCAACTACTGGATGGAGAAAATACAAAAATGGTCTTTTCTTTGTGGTTTTAAGTGTAAACATTATTCATTTCCATGTGGTTTTGGTCACAGAGCCTCTGCAGAGACCTCTGAGGCTCCTGTGGCCCCTGAGCCATGTGTTGCAGACCCATTCACTGATCCGCTGAGATGAACCAAAGGAAGACTCCTCATGATTTGATCACAAACCTGAGGCTGCCGGGGTACAAGAGCTACATTTAACCAAAGAAAGTGCATTTGACAGTAAATCTTACTGTAGGACATGAGCGCACGTGGACAGCATGAACATAAAGTGTATAAATTATTGACCCACACCCGACAAAAAGAAATGTGCCAAAGGACAGATAAAGCATGTGACATAATTCACAAATAAAAGCTGAACCCCTCCCTGCAGGTCCACTCTTCATGATGCAAAGTGAACAGGACAGCAACTGGGCTTTTCCAACACTTCCTGCATGATCTAATGATTTATGTCTACCTCTCATCACATCTCTGATGGTTTTAGTTCATGCTCAGCTACACAAACAGTGTTTGGGCTGCAGACTCCTTCAGGGCTGTAAGTACAGAACGCCTGAGATGGTTTGTCCTGAAGCAGCAGTCGTGTGACTTCAGAGAAATATGCTCATTCTATGTCCAAATACACACATGTTGACTCATCAGATTATTAAAGTAGGAAAGGAGAGAAAAGCTGCCGAAGTCAGCTGTTACATGTTAGCAGCTCCACCTAGTGGTCAAGGAGGGAAACGCTTCCAATGTAGAAAATCAGAATTCATTTAATAACTGTTTACATGAATCTTACTAAACTGTGTGTAAACTTTAGGGCTGTTTTTGTTCTTCACTAAAAAGTGATTTTTGTTTGTGTCTTTGTCTATTGTCTGTCTGCTTGCCTAGTATTTCAAGACTCAGGAGGGATTTTAATGAAACCTCTGGGAAATAATAAGAAAACTTCCAACTCATTCACTTTTGGAGTCTACCCAAGTTGTGTTTATTTGTCTTATGCATATTAACACGGGGTTAACAGTACAATGAAATGCTTAGGATGAGAAGAACCGATTTGACTGGCTAAAAGATCAAAGAACAAACGAACAAGAAATACTAAAACCATGCAATAAGGGTACACAAAAAAAGTCCCAAAAAGTGAAAAAGTAATTATAATAATAGTTGCAATGTCCTAAAGAGAGATATTGAACAACAACATGGTAGAATATAAGGGTGCAGCAGGATGAATTTGAATGAATAAGTATTTCAAGGTAGTAATATAAACTAAAATGCACATGATTTACATACACACACACACATTTATATATATATATATATATATATATATATATATATATATA